GACCTAGGGCATGGCATGTAACCTCTCTGAGCTGGTTTCCTTATTTATAGGAAGGGGATAATGATAGTACCTGCTGCCTAGTGATGATGTGAGGATAGTAAATAAAATGAAATACAAGCAAGCTGAGCACAAGGACTCGCACACAGCAAAGACACAGTAAATGTAGAAGAGGATTATCAATAACTCAGAGCCACACTGAGGGTCCAAGACTCTGAAGGGGTATCATATGGCGTTGGCTGAGCTCTCCCCTCAAGCGCTCTCAGCAGGGATTTGCTTTTCCCCCCTAGGACTGGTCCAGAAACCCCTGCAGAGCATATTCTTTTAGTGTTTCCCAATCCTGAGAACCCTAATCCCCAAACATCTGCCTTCCTGGAGACGGTAAAAGAAGTTCAGAGGAGGATGTCCCACACAGTTTGAAAACCACAGGTGATGCTCCTGGCTTCCTGCATCTTGCTGTCCCCTCTTCCCGGCCACCAAAGGGAAGATTTCCTTCAGTTCAGTAACTGAAGGGCCCTATTTCCAGAGACCCAGCCTAGATGAGACACCTCTGAAAAATGGGGGATTTTGGTTCATGCCTAGAGCATGCAGAGGCGAGCTGCAAACCTCCAGGGCTCCCATGCTACATGAGTGATGTACTTGGACCATGAGCACCCAGCTGCCTCTGGACTCAGCCCTTGCACATCCACCAGCACCTCCCACTCAGTTTGTTTAAACAGACCTCTGCTCTGTCCCTCATCTGGATGCAGTAACAGGACTCCCAGCCTCCCCCTCTTCCCCAAATCTAATTCCTGGCCAACTGGGACAGGAGTCTCATTTGCTCAGACCATCCCAAGTTTTCCTTTGCCTTCAGAATAAAGTGTAAAAGGCCACATGTGACAAACATGGCTCTGCCTTAACACAGAGTTGGGTTCAGGTACACCTCTGAGTTTGAATCTTGGGGTTGGTCCAAGTGTACTTGAGTTTGAGACCTTAAGCAATTTTCTCAGCCTCTGGAAGCCTCAGTTCCCTTGAGTAGAAAATGGTGATAATGTCATCTTCCATGTAAGACTATCATGAAGCACCAACACCAAACCCAGGGCTTGAGACAGAGCAGAAATTTGGGGGGCAGTGTGTGGAATGAAGATTGAGGATATGAGGAGGCACCTGTGGCTCAAAGGAGTAGGGTGCCAGCCCCATATGCCAGAGGTGGCGGGTTCATACCCAGCCCCAGCCAAAAACTGCAAAAAAAAAAAAACTTGAGGATATGGTGGGAACCAGGTGGCTGCCAGCCAGGGAAGATTAGGAGACCAGCTTTGGACATGCTGAATGTGAGGGACCTCTGTGTGTCCAAGGGAGGTGTCCAGGGGCAGCTGGACATGAGACCTAGAGTCATCAGGAAGGCTTTGGCTGGGAAGCCAGTGGGGGACTCGCCAGCATGTGAACAGGAAGATGAGCTCATGGTGGAGGAGGGTCCCCATGTGAAACCTTCTCAGTGAGGTTCACTAACAGCTGAGAAGTTCTAGAAGGAGGCTGAGCAGGAGAGGCAGTGAGGTAGGAAACCCAGAAGCAGTAGCTTCACAGGCACCAAAGGGAGAAAGGGCCTAGGGCAGGAAAGAGAGGCCAGCACAGGGTTAGCTGAAGGCAGAGATGGGCCAAGGGGATTTAGGTTCTAAGAGGTCATTTGCTGGTTACATTTGTTGAGGTCAGGAAAGGAGCACAAGTAGGGGAGGAGAGAGTGATGATGGTGATTATAGAAATGTGGCTGTGACTAGAGGAACAGCAAAAGAACAATGCTTTAAGAAGAGATATAGGATTGAGGCTACAAATGGCTGAGGCCAGAGCCAATGCACTTGCTGCTGGGAAGGGGCAAGCGGTTAGCTGTTAACATTTGCTGAGCCCAGCACAAGGCCTGGCCTACAGTAGGGATCCAATACAAGTTTGCTTTCTTTGAGGACCCAAAGCTGTGGAAGCACAGCTCAAGGCAGGGCCTCCTTGGGACTCTGCAGCCGCTAAGCTGGACCACGGAAGGAGGAAGAGGTGGTGAGTGTGTGCTTGGCTCCAGGACCCCAGTATAAGTCAGAGGACAGAGTGTGAGCACTCTCAGCCTTTGCAGCCCCACCCTGGACATCTCTCTCCCTCATCCACAGATCCAGCAGTGACCTGCCTAGTCTTTATCCCCTGCAGAGCCGCATCCTCCCCAAAATGCCAGCAGATGGTGCCAGTGAGCTGCTGGACTGCCCAAAGGAGCCTGGAGCCAGCCGTGCCGGCCTCCCACCTACCCTTGGTCCTCAAGAGCCTGGGGCATGCTAAGGGTTTGGCTAACCAAATTTCTGACCAAGGGGTGTGAGGAGTGAGACAAAGGACTATGGGAGACTGTGGGCTGAGGGCTTAGGGGCGGGGTGGCTCAGGGGCTCTGCTCCTTCTGGTTGCCCTTCATTCCTCTGCCCTGCCAAGCTCCACCTTATCTGCTGGGGCTCCCACCCTCTACCCCCCTTCCCTTCTCTTCCCTGGAGGCCTCCGCTAAGCCAGACTCCTGGTTCTGGCAGAGGCTGGTTCTCTGCCCCTAGGCAGGCACAACCTGGCACCAGGCCTCAGACAGGGCTGGGCCAGCCCCTCCCAGCCATGACTGCCCAAACCACCTTCTATTTCTAAAACGTCTCCACCTAATGAGGGCTAAAGGGTCAGCAGCATAGATCCTGGGGAGGAGGATGCATGGCCTGCTGGCCTAGGAAGTGGGATGAGTAGGAGAATGGGTAGTTTCTATAAAATTGTGGTGGACTGTCCAGTCCCACCCAGACCCAAATCCCACAAGACTGATGACTCTGCCCAAGGTGGCACAGTGTCCCAGAAGCTGCGTTGCAAACACCCCCTTCCCCTGTGCTCTGAAGCCAATGGCAATTCCCTACACCCCCTCTTGGCAAGTCTCCCTGTCCATTGTGGGCTTCCTGACCAGTCGGGATCCTTCCTGCTTCCTTCACAGGACGTGTAGGACCCCGCTTCCCAGTCTTCACCTTGCCTTCCTGCCCCCATCACCCTACCCTTCAACTCTTACTCTGCTTTTACCTTGAAGGCTCCCCAGGACCCCCACTCTCTCTTCTACCTCCTCCCCAGCCCCAAGTGAAAGCCTGAGATGGGCCAGTGTTCAGTGGCTAGAGCTGGGGAGGAGGGGGGAGTCCATCCATTCCAGGCTCTTGAACCCAAGTCAGGAAGCCAAGCCAAGGGCACTGTGCCTACCCTTAAGCTTGGGCCATACATTGAGGGTGACAGGAGTCTGACTTTGGAAAAGTAATGTTGCTCTGAGTTTCTAAAGGCAGGATGACCCAGACTGAAAGAGAGAACTACCAGAAACACACACAGATGTACTCACATGCACACACAGGGTCACGGCATAGGGAACACAACTAAATGGCGTGGCCAAGCCATGGAGCCCCATGCACACGAATGCATACAAACACAGGCACACAAGGTCATGTACTCAAGGTCAGGCACACACATGCTCCTCGGGCAAGTCCTGCTTCCCAGGGTGGAGGCCAGCCTGTCATCCATACTACAGGAGGGGGTATAGGTGAAGGCACAGGAGTGGCTCTAGGTACGAGATGGATCTTCCACCCAGTCTCTCTCCTTAAGTTCAGCTCCCAGCCCCCCTCCCTTAGATTTCCCTGGTCCACCTTGGCTTAGGTGCCAAGCCTGGGTGGCAGAGAAGGCTTTGAAGGAGGCATTGCCATGTAGCTCTGGCACAGAGAATGGGCACCTAAGAAAGAGAATGGGTAGTTTCTATAGGGCTGGGAGGTGTGCAAAAGAGTCATGACCTGCCATGACCTGCCATGACCTAGAAAGGGCAGAGGTGAGGTGCTGGGGCAAGGGCTGGAGGCCCACAGAAAGCAAGGACCCCTCTGCCATGGCTGCACCTACTCCCCTCAGCACAGAGTCTGGCAGTCAGGCACTGGCAGCAATTCCTAGTGCCTGGCAGAGCCATGGCATGGATGCTAGACACAGGGTGCCAGACATGGGGGTGGGCAGGGTGGGGAGCCGCTGGGCCACACACAAATGCGGACCTTCACAGGCAGAAAAATGTACCCACATTCACCACTTATTTTATCCCCTGGGGATTCAGGGGAGAAAGGCCTTTGAGGCTGCCTTCCCTGATTTCCAGGTGTCCCCATTGACCTGGCTCTTGAGGTGAGAGGTTGGCCAGAGGTAATGGGAAACCTAGCCGACTCCCTGCTCCGACCCCACACACATACATTTGTGTGGCAGGAGGTGGGGTTGTATATATCATTCCCAGGGCTAAGGGGAAAGGTGGAGCAGAGACTCTCAAGAACCCAGGAGGTCACCAGACAGCCTCCTGCCTCTGCCCCAGGCGGATTTCTTGGCCAAGAGCTGCTCAGAGGTGAGCGCGCCTTAGGATGTGTATGCCAGGGCCCTGCGGCCGCGCACCGCGTGGGAGTGCGGCGCTTGTGCGGGCGACGGCGGCAGCGGCGACAGAGCGAGGGCGGGCTGCTTTCCTGCGGTGTTCCGGTAGTGTAGGGCGCCCGGATGCAGGTTGTGTGTGTCCTCAGGTGTCCCGAGCAAGTGTGAGCTACATGTGCTCACTTGAGAGCGGCGGCTTCGCGGCCCTGGGCGCGTGGGCGGGGGCGCAAGGGTGAGCGGAGGCAGGGCACTGGGGCCGGACAGACTGGCCCTTTCCCCAGCCCTGTTGGCTTCTCCTAGCGCAACAACTTTGGGACTTTGTTCCGGCTTCTTCCCGAGCGGATCTGGCTCAGGGGGAGGGGCGGGCGAGGGGGGCCACCTGCCCAGCTGGGGGTGCCCAGAGAGAAATGGAGTCAGACCACGCCCCCACCACGCCCTCGCCCCCGCCCCCCAGGCGCTCTTTATAAGCTCTGCCCGAGGGCGAGCAGAGAAAGCGAATATCCTTCCCGTCCCAGGCTGGTGTTCCCCTGCACCCCGCATCCCGGCCCCAGTCTCTTTCTACTCCCCAGCCCGGCCCCCGCCCCGCCCCGCCCCAGACCGGCCCGGCCGCCATGGAGCGCTGGCCTTGGCCGTCGGGCGGCGCCTGGCTGCTCGTGGCTGCCCGCGCACTGCTGCAGCTGCTTCGTGCAGACCTGCGTCTGGGCCGCCCGCTGCTGGCGGCGCTGGCGTTGCTGGCCGTGCTCGACTGGCTGTGCCAGCGCCTGCTGCCCCCGCCGGCTGCACTCGCCGTGCTGGCCGCCGCTGGTTGGATCGCTTTGTCCCGCCTGGCGCGCCCGCCGCGCCTGCCGGTGGCCACTCGCGCGGTGCTCATCACCGGTGAGTGCGCAGGGCGCGGAGCGCGGGGGCCCCCGGCTCGCGGGCGGTATTGGACACTCAGAGGACTCCCCATGGGCACTGCCAAAGCGGGTTCCCCAGCGTAGGAATGGGATATTTTTTCCTCCCCCGGGTGCAGGGAGCGAGCCAAGTAAGGAGCGCCGGGCACCTTCCCAAGTCCGGGTTAACAACCTGCTGCTGCTAGGAGTGTTGGAGGGAAAGTAAAGCAGAGATTGGTCAGGTGTGCAAAGGAAAGGTAGCTGAGAAAGGGGGAGCCTCCTGGAGTTTGGGAGTTAATACAGTGCTCCTCCCCAAGAAAGCAAGCAGTCTTGGGGCAGGGGACAGTGCTCTGAAGGACTTAATAGGGCTTGAGAAGGGAGGATAGTCACCCTTTGAACTCTATTTGACATCTCCACGTGGGACACCCCATCTCTTATTCCCTGGGCCAGAGGAAAAAACTTAGATGGGGAGCTGCTGCCTGCTGGCTGGGATTCTCTGAGTTCAGAAGAGCTTGAGGTCACCATACAGGGCAGCTGGACATTCAGCTGCCTCCCAGGTCCAGCCACCAACCACCAAACTGCTGAGATAGCAGTCCAGAGTCTGCAGCCGGCATCCCATCCCCCATCTCTCCTGGTCCTCAGTGCCCAGGAAGGAGATGTTGGAGAGCTGGCCTCAGGTGCTTTGGGTGCCTGGCTGAGCTCCTTTGTCTAACGCAGGGAATAAATCTGTCACCAGAGTGAGGGAAGGGAAAGGGAGGCTGGAGGCCCAGCTGGAAGTGGGGAGGGGGAGAAAGCTAGGTTCTATTGCCGGGGCGGGGAGGTGTCAGCCTAGTCTCTTCCCAAAACCCCCTAGGTTTGGACAGGTTCTCTGGGCTCTGTCCTTACACTGGGCCTGGGCTGGAGACAGCCATAAAGCTGGCTTCTCAGAGACCTTGGTCCAGTAGGGGGCCCTGCATGATCAGATTGGCCCCTGGGAGAACTTCTCAGTGGAGAAAATCCATGATCTGGGCCTCAGAAGATGAGTGGAGATAGATGGAGTATGAAAGGTATCTTGGATCAGAGAAAGGTTGTGGGACAAAGGCTTAAAGCAGAAATATGCATGGCCTGAGTAGGGGACACTCAGTGTGCTGTGGGGAGTGTTGTGGGATATGAGGTTGAGTGTTTGGGAGGGGCTTTGAATGTTTGAATGTCAGGTAAGAAGCCAGACTGATGAAGCAGGGCAGGGTAGGGTGGGGGTAGCACAAGGGGTTTGGGTTGCGAGGCTGGGTGCCTGTGTGCATGCCTGTATACATCTGTGCACTGACATTGGTAGGCATTCAGCCTGTGAAAGAACATCCATGCAGGTTAGAGGTATATACATATATCTGAATGTGTGCAGGTGAAAAAGAGGGCATGCAAACTGTGGGTGACTATGTTGGGATCACAGAATTAAGGCTCTGGGAGGCCTTAGATTCCCTTGGGAGCGCCTGTCTGGTTTGGAAAGCAGGAGGGGCAAATGCACACACAGAAGCTCACGCCTCTTCTCCAGCCAGGCTAGCCAGGGAAGGACCGCTTGGCCTGGCTGGCAGCCCCCAGCACACAAAACCCAGCTTGAACCCCCTTGCCCCACAGCTTTGTTCTCTGCATTGGTAGAGGGGCAGGGCTGGGATGGGAAGGAGTGCTGAGTCCTTCAGAAGTGGGGAAGCAAAGCCGCTTTGAGCTTCTGTTGGGCAGGACCACCAGGGATGGGGGGGGCGAGCTTCTGAGAACCTCCTTCCTCAATGGCTCTCCCTCCAAATGGAAACAATCTAGGAAGCAAGGTCTCCCAGTATCACAGACTCCTACACTGGCTCTTCCTTCTGGTGGTTCTCTCTGCACACCAAAGACAGGAAATTAAGCCTCTAAGAGTGATAACCAACCTCAGATCACACTCGGAGGGTGTGGGAAGAGATTCAAATGTATGTCTTCTCCACTCATCATGGTCCCTCTCCTGGGGCAAGTGGTTTGGGGCTCAGAAAACACCCTACTGTTACCACTGATTGGAATGCCAAAGGAGGAGGGTCAGGGGTGAAGTGGAGAGGGCTTCCAGCTTGCTACACCCTGGAACAAGAGTAGTGGGTGTTGAGGATGGGAAAGGAGGGACTCAGGCTGTACAGGCTGCACAGTGCTGTACCAGAAAGCTTGGGCTTCATCCTGAAGACGGCAGGCAGCCTTGGAAAGATTTTTAGCCACAGAGTGATAGTCATTTTTGGAAAGATCCTTCTGGCTGCTTAGGTAGAGAGTGGATTCAAGGGGGCAAGAAGCAACAGGACTGGAAAGTGGGCTGCTTCAGTGTCCACTAGAAAGGGAGGGAGACTGTGCACTAATAGCTGTGAGCTCTGGATATCAGTGCTGGGAGTTCACGTAATGCCAGTCTGGGATAGTCCTGACCTCACTCTGATTTTGGCAAGCACCTTAGCATTACCAGACCTCAGTTTCCTCTTCTATAAAGTGGGGGTCATAGGCCATATTTGATGGGGTAGCTATGGGGAATCAGGAAGATGACACAGAATTGCTGCTCAGGTTCAGGTAGAGGGGCAAAGCCAGGGATGGACCTAGAGAAGATGGAGTTAGGGCTGTTAACTGCTAGTAGAGTGTGCATCCAGAGACCTAGATCCCATCTAGACCCTGGTGATTCTGGGGTTTTCTCAGGATAGAGTTTACTGACTGCCCTGGCCTGGCCAGGTTGTGACTCTGGTTTTGGCAAGGAGACAGCCAAGAAACTGGACTCCATGGGCTTCACGGTGCTGGCCACTGTGTTGGAGTTGAATGGCCCCGGTGCCCTAGAGCTGCGCGCCTGCTGTTCCCCTCGCCTAAAGTTGCTGCAGATGGACCTAACCAAGCCAGCAGACATTAGCCGCGTGCTGGAGTTCACCAAGGCCCACACCACCAGCACAGGTCAGTGTCAAGTCTCTATCAGGCAAGGGTGTGGCCAGGCAGATGGAAGGGGTCAGGGACTGGAGTTTTGCTGCTGGGCTGACCTGAGGCTTCCTTTTCCTGCTGTGTGACCCCAGGTCTATGGGGCCTGGTCAACAATGCGGGTCACAATGAAGTGGTGGCCGATGTGGAGCTGTCTCCAGTGGCCACATTCCGCAGCTGTATGGAGGTGAACTTCTTTGGTGCACTGGAGCTGACCAAGGGCCTCCTGCCCCTGCTGCGCCGCTCAAGGGGTCGCATCGTGACTGTGGGCAGCCCAGCAGGTATGTACCCTCCCCCATTGGGAAAAGGAGCTGCTATGCAGCAGAGGAGGGTTAGGGAAGCCCCTGTTCCTGTGCCAGAGAGTGGTGGAGGATTGCTCAGGGAGCCCCTTGCCAAAGCTGAGCTACCCTACCCTTAATGTATCCCCAGGAGATATGCCTTATCCGTGCTTGGGAGCCTATGGGACCTCTAAGGCGGCCATAGCGCTGCTCATGGACACATTCAGCTGTGAACTCCTTCCCTGGGGGGTCAAGGTCAGCGTCATCCAGCCTGGCTGCTTCAAGACAGGTGAGTCTGGGCTAGGGGTAGGGCATTCATGGAGCTTGGGGCTGAGAAATGGGGGGTAAGCATGGTTTTATGGGGGCAGGGGCAGGGCTGGGGAATGAGCATGGCTTTGGCTAGGAGTGTGGCTTTGACTGGAGGCATACATAGTTCTCTTAGCTGACCCCAGTATGACCTTGCCACCCCTTCTCCAGAGTCTGTGACAAACGTGGGCCAGTGGGAGCGGCGCAAGCAATTGCTGCTGACCAGCCTGCCCCGAGAGTTGCTGCAGGCCTATGGCGAGGACTACATTGAGCACTTGCATAGGCAGTTCCTGAACTCACTACGCATGGCAGTGCCTGACCTCAACCCGGTTGTAGATGCCATCACAGATGCACTGCTGGCAGCTCGGCCGCGCCTCCGATATTACCCAGGCCGTGGCACGGGGCTCATGTACTTCATCCACCACTACCTGCCTGAGGGCCTGCGGCGCCGCTTCCTGCAGACCTTCTTCATCAGCCACTGTCTGCCTAGGGCACTGCAGCCTGGCCAGCCTGGCCCTAACTCTGCCCAGGACGCAGCCCAGGACCCAAACCCAAGCCCAGGCCCTTCCCCAACAGTGGCTCGGTGAGCCATGTGCACATATGGCCCAGCCACTTGAGCACAGGAGGCTCCAGGAGCCCCTGGTCCTCCACTGGGCATTATGACCCCCATGTCTGCCCTAGAGCTTGGCCTAAAGAACCCCAGCACCCTACTGCCGCTGCCTAGTCCAGGCCCAGTGAGGCTGAGGTTTTCCTGTGAGCCTTGGGGCCTGTCCACTGCTTCGTGAGCCCACAGACCCTCCTGGGCACAGTGCTTTACCCTGAAGCTTAGAAAACTCAGTTTTCTAAGGGCAATTTAGTGCAAGACTTCACTGTAGCCTGTGACAGGACCCTGCAGATAGTACCTCTGCAAATTAAGGAGTGATCATGTGGGTTGGGACCCCCTGAGGATTGTTCCTTGGCACCAGTGCCTCAGTGCTGCAATTGAAGGGTGAATCCCAACTGTCTCTTGACTGGCTCAAGAATTCAGGCCCCAACTACCCACTCCCAAGCCCCTCAAGCCACAGGGAAGCTATATACCCTACACTTCCCAATTGTCACTTTTTAAATAAAGACAAACTTTATTTCTCCTAGAGTGGTACAGATGCTATGCTTGGAGAGGGTAACTACTAGGTTGGCTGGGTGTGGCTGTATGACAGAAGTTGGGAACTCCTGGGGTTCCGCATGGAGGTTGGGGCACTGACCTAACTAGGCCCTTTCAGTAGTCTCTGTGATTTATACCCCCCTCCACTGACATTAAACAAATCATTTATCCCAAGATCTGAGTTCTCATGGAGAAAAGGGGGTAATGACCCTGAACCCCAGGAGTTATAAGGCTCAATAAAACATCTCGGGAGATAGACCTCCAAAGCCAGGACCCAACTCCCCAGGCCTGTGTCTGTGTCTGAGCCTCCAGCAGAAGAAGGGCTATCTTTCAGTGACACCCCCAACTCCCCTACCCCTGCTAAAGGAATCCAAGCTGCTGACAGTGAGGGAGGTAGAAGGTTTCAGCAGGGGTGACTCAGCAAGGGCAGGGTCATGGGGGGAAGTCAGGAGTCTGAGAGGGTATTAGGGCCCAAAGGAGGCAGCGGATAGCCAGGCTTAGAGAGGGAAGTTTTATTGTCTCAGAGGGGCAGAGCTACTTCCATTCACCCCAAGGACACACACACTCTATCCTTTCCACGGGCCTAGCTCTGAGAGTGACCCACAGAGATGAGAGGAGGCTCATCTCTGCCCCCAGGGATTCTCAGGTTAGGGAGGGACATGAAAGTGACCACATGCTTCTCAGACACATCAGCAGCTGTAAACATAGGGCTGAGGGGCGCCTCCTTTCTCTGGAGAAGGTCTTGGTCCATCCTTGGTGGGGGGAAACAGGTGCCCAGCTCCTTTTCAGGCCTAAGAGCAGTCTCAGAGAGGGCCAGGGAAGCTGGGCAGTCACTAGGACAGTGTGCTACCCCTTAGGGCAGGCAGGTGAGCCATGGGCTTCATCACAGACCACACAGACACACACAGTGCACTTGGGAGCCTTGGGACAGAATGCTAGAAGATAGGGATGTAGTTGTCGATCTTGGCGCGGTGGCGCTGGGCGATACACTCAGCAATCCACACGATGTTGCGACACTCCTGTTCCTTGAGCTTCACAAAGGCATAGAAGACACCAAAGTGGAACTGGTTCAGGAAGGCCAACTTGTTCAGCTTCACCTGCAGGGGAAAGACACAGATGTGATGTACTGGTGGCCAGGGCCACAGGGTTGGGCCTAAGCTATCAACTCCTCCATTCAATGAACAGGCCCTGCAAGAACCATGTACTAACCTCGTGCTCAAAGAATCGGTCCTCTAGGGTCTTGTCTCCAGGGTTGCTGCCTGCACCCTCAAAGAGCAGCTTGTACTCCTGGCCAGGGAAATGGTGGGATGCATGAGCAAGTGGGTGCTGGGTGGGGGTAGCATGATGCCAACTTGCCCACCCACCATCCTACTAGCCAGGGCACTCACCGGGTAGTAATCAGCCACATTCTTGACCTGCTCATAGTCATCAGCCCGAGCCAGCTGAGCCAGGCCCTCAGGGTAGAGCCGCCCGCAGTGAGGAAAGAGCTTGGCACGGTCCTCCTTGGAAAGTTCTGTGCCGAAAGAGTTGATGGTGATGATGAAGGCGCGGCGGTCTGCTTCAAACTGTGAGGCCGGTCGGTACACAGGCAAGGAAAGAAGAAGGATAAGGGAGGCAGTAGCCAGTCAGTTGGCAGGGCTTCCCCCAGGCCAGGGCTAACAAGCACCAGGAGGCAGGGGAGTGGGCAGGCACTCACCTCCAGGATGGGGCACATGGCGTCTGCTGTGGTCCCACCCAGTAGGGAGCAGAACTTGTAGAAGGACTCCAGGTAGGCCTATGCAGAGCATGGAGCTTGTTCAGCACAGGCAGGGAAACTGAGGAGGGCTTGCTAGGCCTCCCCCTCACAGGGGACATCCTTCCCTTCCCAGCCCCTTTCCTGGTGGGGACAAATAGCACACCCATTGTCCAGGGCAGCCCTAATGGCAAAGCCCCTGAAACACCCCAAATTCCAACTGTTTCTCAGCCATGCTGCAGTTGCCTGCTCCCTTCTACCTAGGAGTGACAGGATAGGGTCCAGCTGACTGTCTGCTTTAGGGTGCAGTATCCCTACCCACTCATCCCACAGAGGACCAGACTCAGAGGGGGCTTCTGTCTTCCCCCTGCTGTCCTGCCTTCTTTTCCCCCAAATCTTTCCCCAAACTCTCCTTCCTCAACCTTAGAAAGCCAGGTATCCATGGGCTAAGAGTTCACAGAGATGGCCTGGAGAGGGTGCCCCCAGCCCTTTCTAGCCTACCTTACAGAACACCACTTCCTCCCATCTCCCAGGCAGGCCCTAGGCATCACACAGCAGGAGCCAAATTGTCAGGCCAGTTCCTGCTGAGGGATGGTTATTGCCTACACAGACGTCAGTGTCACAGTGCAATGGTGGGGCACATGGGCTGGCAGTGGGAACAAGCACTTCCTGCCCAGGAAAATTGGATCTGCTGGGTATGAGGAAAGGACAGGTCAGCCTACACCCCAGGTCCCTCCCAACACTCACAAAACCAGCCTTCCTTCCCCACACCTTCACTTCTCCATGCCAAGGAAGGTGAATGGTCTTATATGACCTGAGGGTAGCTCCCTTACAATGGGCACCTTTCACTTAGACCCCACAGATCCCATCTGGTGGCACACAGAGACTGGCTCCACAAGTTAGAGACTATTCTTCTGAGTTGGGGGCAAGGGCTGGGAGGCAGAGTAAGCTTTCCATGCTGAGGTCACCTCCAATGTGTGAAGACCTTTTCACCACCCACCAGCTCACTTGGGCTCTTAGGCTCTGCTATTCTAACAGAGGTGAGTTCCAGGAGTCCGTGAGTCCAGGCCAGGCCTGACCAGCAACACTGAGCAAGCTGGGCTCAGGGTAAGGCCTAAGGGTGACCACTGGGATCAAAGGAAACAAAAATCTAAGACAGGTCAGGGAACAAGAAGCCTGGGACGGGGGATGGACCCCAGCACAGAAGATCCCAGGAATCAGAAGGCCTGGGTGACAGAGACAGATTGGTGGTACCTTTCAGTCCCTCTAGGAGTCTGTCCATGGCCACCTGTTCTATGTGGCCAGACAACCTGGCTGTGCCAAAATCCAGAGGCTTGCCCTGGTGGGCCTACAGTTGCTATCTGTGGGGGAAGCCATTAGCCAGGTCTTGGGCTCCCTGCCCTGCTGCCCAGCCATTTGCTTAGTCAAGTACAGCAATCCTTGGAGAGGCTGACCCCAGGGTCAGGGAGGCTTCTGGGACAGGCCCAGACGCTTCTCTGGAGGCTAGGGGCAGTAAAAGAAACTGGCAAGACCTCAAAAGCCCAGGTATCAAGGTCACCTCCCCACCCCCATCCTGTCCCCTGCAGTCTGCCAGGCCATGGCTGCTGCACCAGCTGCCTATAGTTCTGACCTACAGGGCAGCTGAGGGTCCACCTAATCTCCCATCTGTGGCCACCGAGCTGGGACATTGCCTGACGGGCGGACGGTCCTGGCACAAGGCCCATAGCATTTGGGCTGGTGTTTATGAGCTGGTGCCCAGGCAGCCCTCACCAGTGACTCCAGCTAGAACCAGTCAGGCCCGGTGAGGGTGTGGAAGGCTGGGGGGACAGCCCCACCCCTCACCCGGTCTCAGGGCAGGGAACCCGGCAATGGGCCAGCTAGGCAGGCAGGAATACTAGGAGTCGCATATACACACTACATATACAAACTCCTCTCTCTCTCTCTCTCTCTCTCTCTCTGTCTCGAGACTGACTGGCTGGCCTGCTTCCTATTAGTGGGATAGCTGAGAACACTTGCTTTAGCAAACAGGCTGAGTGAGGTGTGATCCCTGGTGCTCCTAGTGACTTACTAATTGGCCTTAGACAACCCACCCACTTCTCTGAGCCCTCAGTTTCCTCGTTTTACAAATGGAGATGATGCCTACCCCAGCTGCTGGGGTGATCCTGAGGATTAAAGAAGTTGACAAACCTCCTACCTGTGGTCTTATCCTCCTTAATCTGCCCTCCACATTACAGCCAGAAAGAGCTTTCTTTTTTTTTTTTTTTTGAGACGGAGCCTCAAGCTGTCCCCCTGGGTAGAGTGCCGTGGCATCACAGCTCACAGCAACCTCCAACTCCTGGGCTCAAGCGAGTCTCCTGCCTCAGCCTCCCAAGTAGCTGGGACTACAGGCGCCCGCCACAACGCCTGGCCATTTTTTGGTTGCAGCCATCATTGTTGTTTGGCGGGCCCAGGCTGGGGATTTGAACCCGCCTCCTTAGGTGTACGTGGCTGGCGCCCTAGCCGCTTGAGCCACAGGCGCCGAGCCCAGAAAGAGCTTTCTGCACATACTCTGCAGGAAACCTCTGTTGGCTGACCCTGCCCACAGGTTAAAGTTCAAACTTCTAGCCACCATTCAAGGCCCTGGGTAACTTGATCCTCTGCTGACCTCTTCTTCCAGACTGCTCTCCTACTGTCCATCTAGAATCATCAATTTCACAGCAAACTGCCTGCCACTTGGCCCATACTCTATGATTTCCTTCTGCATGTGCTGGTCCCCTGCCTACACCATTGTAATTTCAGGCAGGCTCCTCATCTACCACCAGACCCTCACTGTGGTCTAGCCTAGGCCCCTGCAGAAAGAACAAAGGACCTGGGCTCAGCCTGTAGCCACGTGTCAGCCTGCTAGCTCTAAGTAGGGCTGGTGAGGACCTTTATTGAGGGTTAGGTTGGCAAGTCCCTTGGCCACTGCCATCCTTAGCCCCCATATGGGCCTGCTGTTCCCTGTTCCTGATGACAGCCCAACGGGGTCCTGACACCACAGCCCAGGACCTCACTGCAGCCAGAGCTCAGTCTGTCCCAAATGTCACTAACTGGTCCCCAGCTCTTGATCTCTTTGGGCCAGGGCAGTGTTGACCCAGAAATTTCCAGCCCAATCTCTATTCTCAGGGGTTACCCCATCTATGCTATAGCCCCGTGAGAAGCAGAAGGCGGGGGCTTGGCACCTATAGCTTAGTGGCTAGGGCACCAGCCACATACACTGGGGCTAGCGGGTTTGAACCCAGCCTGGGCCTGCCAAACAATGTAGTCCCAGCTACTTGGGAGGCTGAGGCAGAAGAATCACTTAAGCCCAAGAATTTGAGGTTGCTGTCAGCTGTGATGCCACGGCACTCTACCAAGGGTGACAAAGTGAGACGCTGTCTTAAAAAAAATTTTTTTTAAATAAAAAAAGCAGAAGGTGGGTAGAGGATGAAGAAGTGGGAAATGGCACTGGCTCTAAGTATGGGGACCTGAAAGGGATATGAGGACCTGGCGATGCCTGGCTGAGTCCCTCCCACCACCGTAACTGAGCACACTGTTGCCTTTGCTCAAGTGCGTATCCTTGTTGGTAACAGCCCAGATAAGATGGGCCCCAGGCTATGGCCTGAGTGGTGGCCCATGACCCTTCTGGATGTTAGGGGCGCGGCAGACCAGGAGCCAGCTCTAACAGGACAAGCGGTAGAGCACCAGCCACTCCTGCTGATCTTATCTAAGCCTGCTGCAGGCACTGTGGGATACAGAACCTGTTCCATGCAGCCTTGCACCCATCACAGGACCAGAGAGGGAACAGATAAGCCTCTGAGACAGGAGCCTGATGTAGCTACATCCTGACCCCACACCTCACACAGATCACCATCCCACCTTACCCCACAGCCCAGCCCGCTGGCAGCCAACCCCCAAACTCACACAGGGTAATACCTTGTAGAGTGTGTTGCGGATAATCTCGATGTTCATCTCATCAAGGTCCTGCTCTGAAATGCAATCCTGGAAAAAAGCCGCTGGGGAGGAAAGACACGAGTGTGAGGGGTGGGCAAATGGCCTCGGCGAGAGCTCTGCTGATGTTCAACTGCCTTACAGGGCACAGAGGACCTCTGCCACAGGCCCATTGGGCTAGGTTCTGGGGGTCCCCAACCCAGCCTGGGCTGTTGCCTTGGAAGTAGCAGAAGCAATACTCTGGGCAATGTACACTGACCTGAGCTTCTCCTGCCTCCTTGCTCCTAAAATTGATTTATAAAGGAGGCAGCTAGCCATAACATGATCTAATCGTTGCTGGGGCAGACCCAAGCTCAGATCATGCCAAAGACAGGCTTGCATAAGAGGCCATGACATCCTCCCTTCTCAAGGGGCAGCTGTGGATTCAGGGCCTGACCGCCTACTTCTCTACATTCCCCAGGAAGGCCTGGCGCCCACATTTGGAAAACCAACCTCCTTCTCCTTAGGACAAGTATGAGTTTAACAACTCGGTGGGCATGGACCAGTGACTCAGGGGGCTGGAGGCCAGAGCAGGACAGAGCATGCCTATCCCCTAGGAGGGTCTGAAGACTCATTGGTCTGTCTCATTTTTAAAGATCAGAAACTGAAGAAGCCACCAATAGTCCAAAACTAGCTCCAAGTTGTTGGGAGAGTCTACAGCAGACAAGGTCAGCAGAACCTAGTGTAGCTTTGTACCCTGTGGTTCAACCACGGTGGCTTTCTGGAGGTGGTGCTCCAGAGCCCAAGACCCCTGCTATAAGGAAACTAGCTAGTTATGGCCTTAATGTCTTCTCCTCCACCTCCTAGGCAGAGCCCTGCAGGAAGCTCCTGATTCTTCTCTCTCCTTGCTTGGCCTCTGATATGGACCCTGCATCCTGCTGGACACTGTCTGACCTGGCCCCTGGGACCTGCTTGGTGGAAGCAAGTGAAGCTGTTTGCTTCCCTCCTCTGCCTCATAGGCAGCCAGCTGCTCTGGCTCTGCTCAGGCTCTAGCTTGGGGCCACAGTCTGTCCAAGCTTCCAGGACTCTAAGGGACTTGGGCTTCTTTCTCTCTCCACTCCATGAGCTCAACCCTCCTTTGCATTCTGAGAAATCAGACTGTCTCAAAGTTAGACGGTCTGAGTCAGGCTGTGGGGTAGCCTGCCTGGCCAGCAAAAACAGCAGGAAAAGAGCAAAAGAAGGGAGAGAGAATGGCAGGAGGAAGTAGAGAAGACAAAGGTAAGCAGGTCTTACTTTCCCCCTGCCTCCAGGGGCCCACAAACCCCTGCACTGATGCACTGATGCTGATACCTATGGCCATCTCCCATGACCACTACAACGGCTCACCCAAGGGCGTGTCCACCAAAATGGCATTGTAGAGCTCGGCAGGTGTCTGAGCAATGTTCACGGCCTCCATCTGCTCAAAGCTGCCTAGTGGGTGGCATTTGGGCACAAGTTCAGCAATGGAGCGCTGGTGTAGCGTGCCTGTGATGAGCAGGATCACATTGTCGATCATGTAGCTGTAACTGCAAGAGGCAGACAACAGCAGGGTAGCCCATCAGGGTGAGGGGCTTTGAAGTCCTGGCATAGCACCCCACTCTTGCCCTCTCACCCCTGCACAGGCCACTGGCCCCTTCACAATGTGCACTGACTCATGGGTGCTACAGATAAGCACCAAATGTCTTGTTTCCCTGCCCAAGTTGCTTACACCCCCACCTGCAAGATCACAGGATAGACACCGCCCCACCCTAGTGAGGGAGGGAGATTCATGCCCCATGAGAGATCGGGACACAGGTAACCACTTAACAGCGTGAATGGTGTTCTAATAGGACATAGGGGCCAGGCATGGTGGCCCACGTCTGTAATCCTACCATTCTGGGAGGCTGCCACCCGAGGATTACTTGAGCTCAGGAGTTTGAGACCAGCCTCAGCAAGAGCAAGACTCCATCTCTACTAAAAACAGAAAAACCAGCTGGGCGCTGTGGCAGGTGCCTGCAGTCCCAGCTACTGGGGAGGCTGAGGCAGGAGGATCACTTGAGCCCAAGAGTTTGAGGTTGCTTTGAGTTATGACGATGCCACAGCACTCTACCCAGGGCAACAGAGTGAGACTCTTTTTGAGTCTCAGGGTCTCTTTGTCACCCAGGGTAGAGTGCTGTGGCGACATAGCTCATAGCAACCTCAAACTCCTGAGCTCCAGTGATTCTCTTGCCTGAGCCTCTCAAGTAGCTGGGACTACAAGCACCTGCCACTATGCCCAGCTAATTTTTTTTTAAGAGATGAGGTCTCACTCTGGCTCAAGCTGGTCTCAAACGTGTGAGCTCAGGATCAGGCGATCTACCTGCCTCAGCCTCCCAAGTGCTGGGATTACAGGTATGAGCCACCTCACCCAGCATGAAACTCTGTCTTTAAAAGGGAAAACAGGACACAGGAATGGTGGGCACAGGAGGTGGGATATGCAGCCCAGCCCGGGGTAAGGATGGCCAGGAGCCCGTGAGATAAAAGAGCTATGAGATGAAAGCATGTTATGGGAAGAGGGAACAGAGTGTGTAAAGGCCTAGAGGCAATGAGTGACGGATGAATTCGAGGAACTGTGCAGTCAGGATTGGCAGAGGGAGAGGAAGGTGCAGCAACGAGCAGGGCAAGGCTGCCAGCAGGCTGGGGCCTGGAGGTTGAGGGCCCTGACTTCATTTTGAGCATTAGAATTCCATGAGCAGGAGGTAAGAAAATAAGTGATCCCCTAGGGTCACTCTGGCTCCTGGATGGGGACAAAAGGAGAGGGGAGAAGGGAAAGGCTGCAGAGTGGGGTGGAGAGAAGATCCAGAGAAGATAGAGAAGATAGCTGGGCACCTGCAGTTCAAGCGGCTAACACGCCAGCCACATACACCAGAGCTGGTAAGTTCAGATCCAGCCCGGGCCTGCCAAACAACATTGACAACTTCAACCCCAAAACAGCCAGGTGTTGTGGCAGGCGCCAGCTACTTGAGAGGCTGAGGCAAGAGAATCGCTTAAGCCCAGGAGTTGGAGGTTGCTGTGAGCTGTGACACCATGGCACTCTATCCAAGGCAACAGCTTGAGGCTGTCTCAAAAAAAAAAAAACAGAAGACAGAGAAGAGCCAGTGGGAAGCCCACTCTCCACTCTGGAATGAAGGCCCAGGTCAGGCAGCCCCGCAGCCCTGCTCTGAAGAGAGAACCACCCGTCTCCTTCAGGGGCTGAGGCTAGGGCTAGGCATCAACCCAGGACAGTCTGGATGAGACCCAGAGACCTGACAGGAGGCTGGGCTAAGGTCCACCCTAGGCTGAGACTTCTCTAGGATCTGTCCTGCAGAAGGCTAGCTCTGGAGGGTACGTGGGCAGCAGAAGGGGCTGTGGAGCAGGGGGAAGGGTGGGATTGTCTAGTTCAGACTTGGCAAAAAATAAGGCTCTGCCTCCAAACAGAAAGATACCGCCACAAAGGGGCTTCTGTATTCACCTATGTACAGTTGGAGTGAAGAAGGCTAAGGCTCCAGGCACAGTCAGACTGCAGTGGCCACAAATGTCCTTCAGCCTGTCACCGGTCATGAACTCAGGGTACAGGGAGCTGAATGAGGCCCAGAGGAATGTCCTCCAAGGCCAGGGTGGAGCACCCATGGGAGGATAAGAGCTGGGGTGGAGGCTGCTGTTCTGAGTTGGGCACTGAGCGCAGATCCTGTCGTAGATTCTGGGTGGGCCAGAGCAAGAGCTCTGCCCTGTGACAGGCTCTTGAGCACCCAGTGCTGAGGCTGTCCAAAGAAGACCCTAGTAGGAGGTAGCCCCTAATACCAAGGGAAGAAAAGGAGGGAGGTAGCAGCCCAGAGCCCTGGCCTCATCTCGGAGGGCTAGCCCTCCAGGAAGGCAACAGAAGGCTCTGCTCCTGTCCTGGCATGACCCTCACACTCCCCCAGCTCCCACCCAGCTCGGCGCCCTGCTCGGCCTCTGCTCTCCTGGGCCCAGGGCCAGGCAGCTACCCTCTTCCTACCCCCCAATCTGGCAAGGTCAGCCACAGGATGTGTATAGAGAAGAGACAGACACACACACACCCCCCTTTCAAACCGAGGGCCTCAGGCAGGGCCCATTTGCAGTTGTAAGCCAAGAGGCCCAATGGACAGCCTCCTGTCCCCGACCCCACAGTCCTGGCACAGTGTAGGGACCTTAGAGAGAGCCTGCCAGAACTTGGAACCTTGGTCTCCAGCTCCAGCATACATCTTTTCTACCCTGGGCAGCACATGTCCCCGGCCCCTGATGCCTTTACGTTTTTGTTTGTTTGGGTTTTTTTTTGAGACAGAGTCTCAAGCTGTCACCCTGGGTAGAGTGCTATGGCGTCATAGCTCACAACAACCTCCAACTCTTGGGCTCAAGTGATCTTGCCTCAGTTTGTTTTTTTTTTTTTTTCTATTCTTAGTTGAGATGGGGTCTCGCTTTTGTTTAGACTGGTCTCAAACTCATGAGCTCAAGCTATCTACCTGCCTCAGCCTCCCAGAGTGCTAAGATTACAGGTGTGAGCCACTGTGCCCAGCCCCCGATGCCTCTAGAATCTACCATACCCCAGGACTCATGCTACACACATACCACCCAGCAACACTCCAACTGTGCCCCATTCAGCTCCACTATAGCCACAGTGCTCCCTGAGACAAGCCATAAAGACCCTGCCCCCAAGATTAATGATGACCTTTTATACTCTCATGCCCTTCTGCACAAAGAGAGGGAGAAAAGCACATTCCTTAGGCCCATATTATCCAAGTGATCCCATAACCACCAGCATCACCAGCCCCATTGTTAGAGCAGGCAAAGCTCAGAGGACAAGCACCAACCCTGCACACCAGAAGGCAGAGGCACCCCATGGCCAGTGTCCATACATCCCCCATGGCCAGCACTCCCATGCCTGGCTCTATACACCCCACCTAGTCTTGTCTCCTCAGAGGGACCCCTTTCAAGCCAGTTTCCTCTTTTTATTTAATTTATTTAATGGGGGTACATACAATTAGGTTATATAGTTTGCTTTTGTAAGGTTAAAGTCCAGGTTGTAGTGTCCTTCACCCAGGAAGTGTGCAATATACCCATGCAATGTACCTGTTGGGTCAGTTTCCTCTTTCTAAAGCTCCCCCTCCTTGTGCCCATGACTCAAAATAGCTGTTTATGTTGGGGGCAGGGCTCAAGTCAGGCCCAAGGAAGGTGCCTCAGAGAAGAGCTCTGTGGAAGACACTGAGGTCTGGCTTTCTGCTGTTCCTCTAGTAATGGGAACAGGTCAGCTGCAACTCACTTTTCTTTTCTTTTCTTTTTTTTTTTTT